ATATATATATATATATATATATATATATATATATATATATATATATATATATATATATATATATATATATATATGTATATATATGTATATATGTGTATATACACACAAAAAGATTAAATGGTCTTATTTCCTTTTAAATAATTTCTATTAAATATTTTAATAAGTTAGTTGCAAAAGCTTTACAAGACCCGCAGAACCAATCCCAGCATTCGTTTTGGCTGTTTGGTTATACTAGGCAATTTAACGTTCATTAGTTTGCTGTTGTCCTATGAACGGCCAACTCTCGATACCATTGTGTGAAATCAGGGCAAAGCAGTTTGCAGCCAGATTGTCAGCAGCTGGAACTAAACCATGTATCTTAGATTTATGAAGCATGTTCACACCATCTAAGCCACAGAAGCTGCAATATATATATATATATACATGCATACATACACACACACACACACACACCTTGTTGAAAGAAAACTTGAAGGGAATTAAGTTATTTAATTTTTATTTCAACATCCAGCCAAGAAATTAGCAACAAAACATTCACTGTTCTAATTAAATAGACTCTAAAAAGACCTCTTTCTAAAATTCTAGCAGTTAGTCGCAACTGAAAAACATTTACACATTTGAATGACTGCAACTGGCCTTAGCATGTTCCAGTAGAAAAGTACTAGTAGTGTCAACTGACAGTGCAGTATTGTAGCTTGTTGGTTGGCAGTGTCAGCTGACAGTGCAGTATTGTAGCTTGTTGGTTGGCAGTGTCAGCTGACAGTGCAGTATTGTAGCTTGTTGGGTGGCAGTGTCATCTGACATAGCAGTATTGTAGCTTGTTGGGTGGCAGTGTCAGCTGACAGTGCAGTAATGTAGCTTGTTGGGTGGCAGTGTCATCTGACAGTGCAGTATTGTAGCTTGTTGGTTGGCAGTGTCAGCTGACAATGCAGTAATGTAGCTTGTTGGGTGGCAGTGTCATCTGACAGTGCAGTATTGTAGCTTGTTGGTTGGCAGTGTCAGCTGACAATGCAGTAATGTAGCTTGTTGGGTGGCAGTGTCATCTGACAGTGCAGTATTGTAGCTTGTTGGTTGGCAGTGTCATCTGACAATGCAGTAATGTAGCTTGTTGGGTGGCAGTGTCATCTGACAGTGCAGTATTGTAGCTTGTTGGTTGGCAGTGTCATCTGACAATGCAGTAATGTAGCTTGTTGGTTGGCAGTGTCATCTGACAATGCAGTAATGTAGCTTGTTGGTTGGCAGTGTCAGCTGACAGTGCAGTATTGTAGCTTGTTGGTTGGCAATGTCAGCTGACAGTGCAGTATTGTAGCTTGTTGGTTGGCAGTGTCAGCTGACAATGCAGTAATGTAGCTTATTGGTTAACATTGTCAGCGTAATTGCTTGTGCTTGCTGATCTTCAGTTTCCTCGTGTGCAAGCTTGGGAATGTCACAGACATCTTTATTTATTCTCCTTTGTATTATTTGTGCACCGTTCTGATTTGCTAATATTTTTGTTGTTGTGCATTGTTTTTTTGTTTGTTGCACTTCTTTCAGACTCTCTTTAAACACAATGATGCTGACCATTGAGAGTCTCAATGTCTACACACAACTGGGTGTGGCCATCTCAGTTACAGGAATCGCCCAGGTGAGCAGGAAGCTGCCATGCTAGTCAACAGCAGCAGCTTCAGCACCACCACGCACGCAGGCACACCAGTTCACTCACTCGTCTCTCTTTCTCTCTCTCTCTCTCTCTTCTCTTCTCTTCTCTCTCTCTCTTTCTCTCTCTCTCTCTCTCTCTCTCTCTCTCTCTCTCTCTCTCTCTCTCTCTCTCTCTTCTCTCTTTCTCTCTCTCTCTCTCTCTCTCTCTCTCTCTCTCTCTCTCTCTCTCTCTCTCTGTGTGCGTGCCCTTTGGTTTTCAAAAGTTTGTTTGGGTTTATTATTTTGGATTATTTTACACATGCCATTGTTGCTGCAGGATTTGAAAGTTTTACAGTTTTACATATTTGATATGTGTTGTGTTTATAGTCAGTCGGATCCATGTTATTGCCAGTATGAGACACTTTGCTTGATAGTTTTAACATTCTGTGTGTGTGTGTTTTTTTCCTGCACAAATTTTCGACTTTTCTTATCTTTGTATTTGTGTAGAATTTTTTTTTTTATTGTTTGGTGTTTATTGTTAATCTGAATAATTAAATAGAATTACACAATCAGTGTAGACATCCTTTTCATATATGATAGATGTACGCAAACGGTGTGGGCAGACAAAACTGACAATTTACAGTCAGAAGATGTAATTAATTTGTGTACGGATTTTATTGGTTAATTTTAACACTAAGTCTTAAACTTTACTGATAGTTGTACACACTCCATGTTCAGTGATTTAATTCATGATATCTACCATTCAACTTGCTGACCACTGAATTTTGCTGTAACATCTAATATTAAATTCTGCTCAGAGGATATTATTGGAATGTTGAAAACAAACATTGATATCATAGATATAGGAATAGTGATAAAAACATTTAGTGGCAAGAAAAGCAGTCGTTAAGAATTAGGAACCAGTTAGAAATATTTCTAAATATCGAGCAAGATGTTAAACATGCCTGCATTCTGTCACCTAGTTTATTCACTTCTTACAGTGAAACTGTAAAAAGATGTATGTAAGATATGTTAAGAATGTCATTTGGTGGGTATATTGTAAACAACCTGCACAATGCTGATGGTATAGTTTTGATAGCTGAAAAGGAAATGCAGATACAAGAAATTGGGGACTTAAAGCAACAGATGGTACAAAAATAAAGATCATAGTTTTAGAAGTGGAAAAGTGGAAGTAATGATAATTACAAAGAAAAAAGAGTTCTCTACATTGCAACACAAAAGTATATTGGGAAAAGTCTGAAACACATAAGTACCTGGGTACTCATAATAGCAGATGGAAAATCTATTAAAGAAATTAAATGTAGAAGCAACATTTCACTATATAATGAATAATCATATGCTCATTTGGCCAGGCTTTAAAAGAGGTCAGTTACTCATTTATGGCATTCTTGTTTCGGGAAGTCTTAATACAGTTTTAGAAATAGTTTCAACACCTGTTGTCTTACCCTAGTGGTGTGCTAGATCTCTGAATGACCATTTTGTGGTACAAGCTGTATAGCCTAGCAGATAAGGAGTTAATACAGATGCAGTTGTACACACATTTGGTCTGTCTTTATCTGCCTGTATTCACCACTTTTCTAGCGTTTTATGACTGTGGTCTTGAGCCTGAGGCAGTCACACTAGCAAGCTGAGTGATGTAATCTATCTGCACATTGATGAAATCTAGCTATACATTTAGGTAATCTGGCTACACAGTGAAGAAATATAGTTACACATTGATGAAATCTAGCTGCACATTGATGAAATCTAGCTACACAGTGATGTAATCTAGCTACACATTGATGAAATCTAGCTACACATTGATGTAATCTAGCTACACATTGATGAAATCTAGCTATACATTTATGTAATCTGGCTACACAGTGAAGAAATCTAGCTACACATTGATGAAATCTAGCTACACAGTGAGAAAATCTAGCTTTTCAGTATAGAGACTCTATTCTCATATGTAATATCTATGAGTTGCAGCAGTGGGAACATCAGTAAGCAGATCTCTTTTTTCAGTTGTAATGCCCCTCCCCCTCTTCCAATGGGGGTTCAGGGACCCCATTTTGGGTAAAACAAGTATAGACCCACTGCCCCCTAAACAACAAACTTGTTGTAACAGGAATGAAGGATTTGCTGGAATTGGTTGTGTTGGGCCAGGAGGCACAGATATTGTAGCTTAAATGTAAACCTCAACATGTGAAAACTGCCTTTTAGGTAGAATTGCAGAAGAAAAGTTGAGTAACATGAGTAACAGCAGTTTGAAGATTGCAAGTAGGTCTCTCGACTCAGCTGTACATGTTCTCTTGTCTGTGCTAACCTGTTTCTCTGTGCCTGTAGGTGAAGGTTCAGGGTGGCAATGACAAGTTACTGCAGGCGGCCTGCGAGCTTTTTCTAGGCAAGTCCGAGAAAGATATCAGAAAGGTAGCCCAGGAGACACTAGAGGGGCATCAGAGAGCCATTATGGGAAATATGACTGTTGAGGTGAGTTCAGGGCCATATTGTAATGACTATTTGTTGAGGGCTCAGTGTTAAGAATATAAATGAAGAGCTGCAATATTTCCACATGCCTCACTTAACGTTTGGATACATCCCACGCTAAGAGTACAAACCATGTCCTTTGTTTAAATAGCCAGCGTCAGTTCTCTGTCTGTATCCTCTTTGTGTCACAGTTGACGCATAAGGCATTCACAAGTTGTCTCCACTGCAGTCTGTTTATGACATTTTTACATTGCTTCTTGTCGCTTTCTGCTGTCCTTTTTCTGTGAGAAACATAGAGGGATATATTTGTGTGAATGCTTGAAAACAGATGAAGCCTTATTACACATTTTTGAAATCAGTCTTACGACAAATCTTTGGACCCATCAAAGATGCAAACAGAAGGCAATGGAGAGTGAGAAGCAACAACAAAATTCCTAATCTGTTTACATCACCATTAATCACTGGTATTATGAGAGCTAATAGAATGAAATAGCTGGCGAATATTAAGAGAATGTCAGATGACAGAGAGGTAAAAACTGTATACACAAGGGAGCTAAATGGTCGTAGACCACGAGGCAGACCAAGAAGATAATGGAGAGATAATATCCAGACAGACCTGCAAACACTTGATGTCACCAACTGGAAAGAGAAGACCAACCAGAGAGATGAATTGAGGTGGGTGATATCAGCAGCAGTGAACCTCAAGGGCTTGGAATGATGAAGAATAAGAAGCTTGAATGGATGGATCTATTTGTTTGTGTTTGTCATTCACAAAGTTGATCTCTTACTATTGTTTTGTCAGATAGTTTATCTGTTATTTGTCATAGTGCTGATCTTCAAATGTGTAAAAAAAAATAATATGTTTGAAAGTCCTGGTGGTGATGTTTCTCACACAGGAAATCTACAAAGACCGCAAGAAGTTTTCGAAAGCTGTCTTTGAGGTGGCCTCCTCAGACCTGGTCAACATGGGTATCTACGTGGTCAGCTACACACTGAAGGACATCAGAGATGAGGAGGTAGGCCACTTTTTCCAGCAGTTGTTAACTCATCTATAACTTACATATCTAACATTAGAGGTTAACCCTCTCCCTGTGGAAACAATAGTTAAAAACAGTTCGGTCATTATTCTAATTGGAATCTAGAAAATAAAGTACTTTAATAAATCACAATTTTACATAGATCACTGAAATATTTGTTAACAATTTATTCAGCTACACTATTTGACTGAGTCAGAGAGAAATGCAACAAGCAGACAGACAGACATGGAGGAAGAGAATTTGACTGAGTCAGAGAGAAATGCAACAAGCAGACAGACATGAAGGAAGAGAATTTGACTGAGTCAGAGAGAAATGCAACAAGCAGACAGACATGGAGGAAGAGAATTTGACTGAGTCAGAGAGAAATGCAACAAGCAGACAGACATGGAGGAAGAGAATTTGACTGAGTCAGAGAGAAATGCAACAAGCAGACAGACATGGAGGAAGAGAATTTGACTGAGTCAGAGAGAAATGCAGCAGACAGACAGACATGGAGGAAGAGAATTTGACTGAGTCAGAGAGAAATGCAACAAGCAGACAGACATGGAGGAAGAGAATTGGACTGAGTCAGAGAGAAATGCAGCAGACAGACATGGAGGAAGAGAATTTGACTGAGTCAAAGAAAAAATGCACCAAGCAGACAGACATAAGGAAGAGAATTTGACTCAGAGAGAAATGCAGCAGACAGACATGGAGGAAGAGAATTTGACGGAGTCAGAGAGAAATCCACTGATTTGGGAAAGTACAAGGATATTGAGAAATTTGGATAATGATTATAAAGACAACTTTATTAAACTAATCTTAAAACACAACCACTAAGCTAATGATAATGGATACATTAGCAATGAGTAGTTTCTGAACATCCGTACTACAGTACAGAAAAACAGAGGTCAAGATTCAAAGACAAGTCCTTTGGAAAATATTTTGTAAATAAATATATTGTCCCTGTATATATTCCAAGAGTCGGCTCTGTGGCTAAGTCGATGCGAAATCCTCGCTTCGTAATGCCAGGATGACAGGTTTGATCCCAGCTGCGGGCAATGCGCCTTGATTTGGTTTCGACAGTGGTATCAAGAAAGCCGACCGTCCAGAAAGCAATGGCAAACTACTGGATGTAAATTGCCTAGAAAAACCACACAACAGCCAGGGGCTGTTAAGGTTGGTTCTGCAACGTCCTGTAAAGTATACTCAACTGACTTAATATATTCCAAGGCCTCATTTTGGGAGAAGAAAAAGAATAGACTTTGTTTTTCTTCTGCTTTCCACCTTAAATAGGCAGCTGGCACGTTGCACTGTAGTTGACAGCTAGCCTGTGATATCTGTGCCTTTCAGCCCGATACATTCATTTTCATCAAACTGTTGGGGGCAGTAAGTCTTTTCATATTTTGTCATTCCTTATGTATCTATCATCACCTTATGTTGCAATGTTTTTTCCAAGGGATTATTGTGTGATTTGAAGATGAAACAAATTAATTTGGTGACAGTGCTCTTGTTCACAGGTGCTTTAGCAGTTGCCACAATCTCACAGTGAGGCTGTAGATCTTTCTAAATGTTTTTTGTTTTTTCAAATTACCTGGTCAGTGGTACAGTAAGAGCATTGGTTGGTATAGTTTAGGGAGTTGGTACAGAGAAAATTGGTTAGTATAGTTTGGGAGTTGGTACAGTGAGAGCATTGGTTAGTATAGTTTGGGAGTTGGTACAGTGAGAGCATTGGTTAGTATAGTTTGGGAGTTGGTACAGTGAGAGCATTGGTTAGTATAGTTTAGGGAGTTGGTACAGAGAAAATTGGTTAGTATAGTTTGGGAGTTGGTACAGTGAGAGCATTGGTTAGTATAGTTTAGGGAGTTGGTACAGAGAAAATTGGTTAGTATAGTTTGGGAGTTGGTACAGTGAGAGCATTGGTTAGTATAGTTTGGGAGTTGGTACAGTGAGAGCATTGGTTAGTATAGTTTAAGGAGTTGGTAAAGAGAGCATTGGTTTGTATAGTTTGGGAGTTGGTACAGTAAGAGCATTGGTTAGTATAGTTTGGGAGTTGGTACAGCGAGAGCATTGGTTAGTATAGTTTGGGAGTTGGTACAGCGAGAGCATTGGTTAGTATAGTTTTCAGAGTTGGTACAATGAGAGCGTTGGTTGGTATATTTGTGAGAGGGGATAAAATTGGAGCATTGTTTGATATCCTCTAGAATGTTAATAAAGTAATAAGTTAAGGGAGAGTAATAGATGGTATTAGTAGAATTTCAGTAAATGAATGAGATGTATAAATAGCATATTTAGACACTAAATAGCTTGCAGTTTTGTGGGCAAAATTCAGTAAGCTAAATTGATTAGGATAGACAGATTTTGAAAGATGGAGCTGGCTAGGTAGGGAGGAAGAACTGATCAGTAAAGTTATTTGACAGTTACTGCACGTAATATATTTGTAAAGATATGCATTGACATGTGTATATGCACAATAGGCTAGTTTCCCAAAATACTATTTTAATATCAGCCAGGTGAGTAATTTGAGTTTGGATATGACCCACAATAGCGGCCACAGAAGTACAGAGCAGGTAGACAAGCTTCTAGATCAATGATCTCATAATGTTGTGTCTTTTAATTTGACATTAGTCTAGCAGCAAAGGGCATTTGGTTATAGACCAATGGGCATTGGTTATAGACCAGTGGGCATTTGGTTATAGACCAATGGGCACTTGCTGGGTGATGCTGGCCACTTGTACTTCCCATGACATTTCCTGGTGCCAATTTTAGGCCTGCAAGCCAAGGTTAATTTTGACAAAAAATGATCTGCCTTGATGTGGAGTTGAATGCATCACCTGCTTACTGCCAGGCGAATGTCTAGTCACCAGGTAACCTTGGCTGTCAGTGAGTCCTTATTGCCTTCTGGAATGTCTAGTCACCAGGTAACCTTGGCTGTCAGTGATTCCTTATTGCCTTCTGGAATGTCTAGTCACCAGGTAACCTTGGCTGTCAGTGAGTCCTTATTGCCTTCTGGAATGTCTAGTCACCAGGTAACCTTGGCTGTCAGTAAGTCCTTATTGCCTTCTGGAATGTCTAGTCACCAGGTAACCTTGGCTGTCAGTAAGTCCTTATTGCCTTCTGGAATGTCTAGTCACCAGGTAACCTTGGCTGTCAGTAAGTCCTTATTGCCTTCTGGAATGTCAAGTCACCAGGTAACCTTGGCTGTCAGTAAGTCCTTATTGCCTTCTGGAATGTCTAGTCACCAGGTAACCTTGGCTGTCAGTGAGTCCTTATTGCCTTCTGGAATGTCTAGTCACCAGGTAACCTTGGCTGTCAGTGAGTCCTTATTGCCTTCTGGAATGTCTAGTCACCAGGTAACCTTGGCTGTCAGTAAGTCCTTATTGCCTTCTGGAATGTCTAGTCACCAGGTAACCTTAGCTGCCAGTGAGTCCTTATTGCCTTCTGGAGTATCAAGCAGCATATTCCATTATTCTTGTTGGTATCTTCTCAACAGAAATTAGTCACACCTGAGATCGACTTCAGAGGTCTGCACTGTATAGAGCCGGCCCTTCAGAAAACATTAGCAAACTACTGAACATAATATTGCCTAGTAAAATCACAGGCAGCTGAAAACTGCTGAGGTTGTTCTGCAGTGTCCTGTAGGGGATAAGCAACTAACTGTTTAGAATTGTAGCCGTTAACAGAAACTAATGTTCATGTGTGTCTGCAGGGATATCTGTTCTCTCTAGGAAGAAAGAGAACTGAGGAGGTGAAGAGGGATGCTCGTATAGGTGAAGCCGAAGCCACCAGAGACTCAGGAATCAAGGTGATGTTCTTGATGAAGGGCTGCTCAATAACATTCTTTTGCACTAGCTTCTCCAGATGGACCTTGAGGACATGAGTTTGTGGATGTGTGGCCTAGTCCTAATTACGCTAATTGGGCTGGTGGTTTTCACTGAGACCTGAATGTACAGGGTCAGTTTAGTTATCAGGGGAGAGACAGACGCACATATCCACAGCTTATGTTGTCACTCATTTATCTCCAGTTTTCAACCCGTGTCCGAGCTGCAAAGCTTGTACCGTGAACAAGATTCTCCAGTGCTGCAACATTTGAGCATACTCAAATGTTTGTGAACACACCATTAATATTTTTTTATATAAAGAAGCATCGTGCAAAATTTTTAAAAAAAAGTTTCCCTGTTTCTGTTTCATAAATTTAACAGTTCTGAAAACATCTTGGCCAGATTTTGCAGCATTGTTGAATTAGTTTCTCTCAAGTATTTAGTTATAAATTTGCCTCTACAGATTGACAAGATCAAGTCGACTTATTTATGCAGAAACTCTGGCTAACTCATTTCTCTGTTCAAAGTATATCTGAATGCTATTTCACAGTTTACACTCACATGTTTTATTTCTCCTCCATTTATCCCTACTTCTATCCACATCTTTGTTTCCGCCTCCATCTCCAATCTGTGCCTGGTCCAATTTTGCAACGACCATCCACTAGTTGTACCTGAAATCTCTGGGCTTGGCTCGGACTGCCCAAGTGAAAAGGGACGCCAGAATTGGGGAAGCTGAGGCCAAGCGAGACTCTGGTATCAAGGTACAAACCTCGTGGAGATTGATCATCCCCTGTGGTTGATATCACCGCTTGCTAGAATTGTTTGCCTAGTGCTGGTTGTTGTTGTTAGAGCTGTCACATTGTCGCCCCTAAGTCTAGGGCAGGTTGTCTGACTGACTGACTGACTTTCTACCCCACCAGGACATCACACAAGCGACAAACACCCGATGACACAAAGTGCCACCATGCAGATGAGGATCGCCGTGGAGAGGTCCCAGAAACCGCGTTCAGACATTTGGCCATATGTATGGCCTGCCTATATTGCGGCCCCTGGCAAAAGCCAGGGTAGGGCTTCAAATGACAAAAAATTTCGTCCTAATAAGGACGAAAATGGCTATTAAGGCAGGTTGTTGTTATGTTTACTTATCTACTGGACACTTTTGAGCTGAAATGCTGTAAAGAGATTTTCAGAATAGCATGGACAAAAAAAAAAAAGTAAAGTGAAGGTAAAGTCTGGAGATGTGAACCAGCGTCATTGCACACGGTTATAAACCATAAGTGCTCTGCCACCAGCAGGGTCAGCTGATAAGAAACTGTCCGCCTGTGTCGCCGTCTGCACGAAACTCTGTAGCTACAGCGACGTTCCTCCATTTACCCCAGAGTTTCGACTCTGGTACCCATTTCCTAGAGGCTGGGTGAACCCTGGGAACCGCCCGGTTTCAAACACCAACCGTGGGCTGCAGCCGGTTGCAGCTGTATTTAAAAACGAGCCTCTTATCGACAGCGCTGACGCGACCCCCAGCATGGACAAAGAGGAAAATAAATACTGACAACCTAAAAGATTGAACATAAAGAAATATTTGATTTGTAAACAGCATCATGGCCATATAAAGCGCCATAGCAGGTTGGAAAAAATAGCAGAAGGCATTGTACTTGAAAGGAGGAACAGAGGCTGACCGGCACAAAGATGGACACAGGATATACATGACACCTTGCTTAAGAAAGTGCAAGAGGCATGAGAGCTGGCGAGAGTTTCTTTCAGTCAGACTGTGATAAAAACAACGTTCTGCAATTGACCTGCTACATGATGATAATGATGACTGTACACTTAGGCTGCTTCTTGTCAAGTTTGATTGGTTATTGGTTTTGTAGTTGTGCTTACAGTTGGTTAAGTGCATGGTAGATACCAGATTGATGTCTTCCTGGTTTTTTTTGTTTAAAAAAAAAAAAGTTTTTCTGTCTTTGCCAGTCTCCTTCCCTGCCTTGTTTGTTGAATGGTGTGTGAATTTGGCGGTGTAGTTTGCTTTGTGCATTTAACAGAAAATTCTGTATAGATTGCTTGTGATGTCATTGTTCTAACAGTTGATAATTTAATACCAATACATTCTTTGGTTATGTGATGAGAAGGAGAAAACTGAAATGCATTGTGACAGTAGGAAACTTGAAGGGGAGGAGAATCAAAGGGAGACCGAGAGAACAGATGCTGGATAGTTTGACATCATGGCATGGAGAATCATCTGTTTTAGAGACAGAAGGTTGTGGATAGACATGTCTACCATGCCACATACTTAAAGAAGAAGAAGAAGATGAGAAATGTATACAATGAATTCTGTATGTATGTTACACAATACCCAGTGCTGCTAATATGTATGTATATATATATATATATATATATATATATATATATATATATATATATATATATATATATATATATGTATATGTACTGTTATTAATAGCTACAGCTTTATTTTTCTGCAGTTTACACTTTCAGTTTTATTAACCAATCCTCGTGCGTACAATCTCCCCCCTCCCCCAGCAATTTACACTAATAGTTTAATTAACCCCTCCTCCTGTCCGTTTAATTAACCCCTCCTCCTGTCCGTTTAATTAACCCCACCTCCTGTCTGTTTAATTAACCCCTCCTCCTGTCCGTTTAATTAACCCCTCCTCCTGTCTGTTTAATTAACCCCTCCTCCTGTCCGTTTAATTAACCCCTCCTCCTGTCTGTTTAATTAACCCCTCCTCCTGTCCGTTTAATTAACCCCTCCTCCTGTCTGTTTAATTAACCCCTCCTCCTGTCCGTTTAATTAACCCCTCCTCCTGTCCGTTTAATTAACCCCTCCTCCTGTCTGTTTAATTAACCCCTCCTCCTGTCCGTTTAATTAACCCCTCCTCCTGTCTGTTTAATTAACCCCTTCTCCTGTCCGTTTAATTAACCCCTTCTCCTGTCCGTTTAATTAACCCCTCCTTCTGTCTGTTTAATTAACCCCTCCTTCTGTCTGTTTAATGAACCCCTTCTCCTGTATGAATATTTTAAAAGAAAACAACAGGCTTTTTGATTTTGCCAGAGTTTGTCTCTAAAAGGTTGAGATGTCTTCTTCTTCCTTCTAACCCCCAATGGAGCATAGGCCCTCAACCAACTCATGCCAAGGTTTCCTATTTCTCGCTGCTGCGTGCAGGTCTTCCCTTGCCCTCCCTCCCCATCTTATTAACTTCACTCTCTAGCTCCCTTCTCCATGTGCTGTTTGATCTGCCTTTATTTCTATGCCTCTGTGGGTTCCAGTGCAAAGACATTCTAGTTGTATTGTTCTCAGAGTCTTTGTTCTAACAGGCCATAATATATTATAAGTAGATGAAAAATGTGTAAAATGAATTCAATAGGTATGCCACACAACACCTGTTGTTGCTAATTTATAAAAGTCACAGCTAAAAATCCCAGACCATACAAACTTGTAATAATAGAAACAGGTTCTTTTTTCTGCTATTGACATTATCGTATTAACCCCTCCATCTGTGTTCACAGTCAGATGCTAGGATGAATATATTTAAAGAAAGCAACAGGCAGTTAAGCTTTTTGATATCTGTGAAGAGTTTGTCTGTAAAAGGTGCCGATGTAGGCCAAAATAATTGAATGTGTTCAGCAAATGTCGGTCATTCTTTGAGCCAATGTTTGAGCCAACGTTTGAGCCAATGTTCTTTGAGCCAACGTTTGAGCCAATGTTTGAGCCAACGTTTGAGCCAATGTTTGAGCCAATGTTCTTTGAGCCAACGTTTGAGCCAATGTTCTTTGAGCCAACGTTTGAGCCAATGTTTGAGCCAATGTTCTTTGAGCCAATGTTCTTTGAGCCATGATTGCAGCAGATTTATAATTGTCATTTTGTCAGCTCCACATTTGTATTGATCATTATTTCTTATCTTTAGTTTATTAAGCAAATGGTAAATGGTTTGAAACTCATTCAGTTTGATTGGAAAAATATCTTATTTAATTTGAAAATCATCCAGTTGTGTTTGGAAAACACCGAAGATGGTTTGAAAATTGTCCAGTTGGATTTGAAAAGCATCCTAGGTGGTTTGAAAATTGTCCAGTTTGGTTTGAAAAGCATCCTAAATGGTTTGAAAATCATCCAGTTTGGTATGAAAAACGTCCAGTTTAAAGTGAAAATGTTGATATATATATATATACATGTCTGTATATTTCCTGTGTGGGTTCCAGGGTCCCATTGTTGGGTAAAAAAGATTAGACCCACTGCCTTCCCAACAAGCATGTCTTAGAAGTCAACTAATTGGGGGCTTCCTTCAAAGTCATTTAAGTGCCTATCTGCCTGAGGCAAGGAACCAACAGTCTTCACACAAATGAGCCAGATCTGTAAAAACGCATGAGCATGTGGCATTCAGTTTCTGGAACAAGACTAAAGTCTAGAGGTGAATGAACAACCAGCACTATCCACCAGAGTTAACAGCCAGTGAACGGGAAGACGTTAAATGTATACATAGGATTTGGTGGTAACTAGGGTTCCAAAGTCCACAGGCATTGCTATGAGATCAGTAACTGGTCACTGTAGCCTTATATAGAATCCAGAGCTTATGTTTGCTGTGTTTAGAATCATCTGTCGTGTTTGTCTTGCATATTAATGTGACATGCTGGTTTCTTAGCACAGGTTCTGTCTTCTCAAGCAACCAGCTGTTTATTGCGTGTATTGTTCAGTGCCACCTGCATCTCCATATAGATACAAATGTTATCTTGTGTCATTTATGAGCTATTGTGATACACAGTAGATGTGTGTACACACTACATATGCTTGCCTAATGGTCTAGAGCTGTGTTTGTTCTCCAACCTTTTTCTGGTTGATGTCATAAAGAAACTTACTGCAGCTTGTTGGAGTTTAGTAATAACTGTTTTTAACTGTAGTGATAACTGTTGTAATTGTTAAATATGCTGTGTTATACATGATTCTTTCAACTAACAACAACAATATATTTATATATATAAATCAATCTTATTTCATAATAAGACTTAACAATATTTATATAATTTTTCTTCGGAATTCATAATCTGTTTAAATCACCATTAATCACTGGTATCAATGAGGGCTAATAGACTGAAATCACTGAGACACATTGAGAGAATGTAATCATATCTCCCAGAGAAGTAAAAAACTATACGCTGGGGTGTTGAATGGTAACAAACCACAGGCAGACCGAAAAGATAATGGAGAGATAATGTCCAGACGGACGTATGAACACTTGGTGTCACTAGCTAGAAAGAGAAGACTAAACAGAAAGATAAACAGAGGTGGGTGATATCTGCAGCAATGAACCTCGGGCTCGGAATGCTGAAGAAGAAAAAAAGGAAAATATAAATCTTATTGGAACTGTTATTTAGGCTTTTTTCCCAGTATTATGTGAATATTATTTATTAACTAAACGATTGTGCAAAATGTATCAAATTGACTTACAATATAACTCATTATGTCCGTCAGGCCTCCTAATATTTTGTACAATCTCCATCCACTTCTGTGAGTCAACGCCAGCGCGAAACAAGGCAGTGCATATTTTGTTGCCTCTGTCAGTTTTTTTGGTTTGTTTACCAAGCTGCTGCTTCACAACACGTGTAACATCTTCCGATCTGTTACTTTACTTTCTGAAGCTCCAACTCTCAACCTCCTATGATGCTTCTGTTATCTGCACAACTTCCATACACAGCACACAGCCAGAACTTTCCCCCGGAGTTTACAAGCAGTAAATACGAAGAGGAAAAAGAAATCAGGAGTTAGGTCATAAGAGGAAAAGTTGGCGTAGAGCTTATTCTGAATTACATACAAAGACGGTAGGTCATGTTGTTCACCCACCTAGAGAGAATTCCCTGTGAAGCCGTACTATACTCGGCGTACACAGAATGAGGAGAAAGACATGGAGCATGAAGACCAAAAACAAGGTGGAAATATAACAGAGAAAGTCTACAACAACATGATTTGTCTATGATCGAGGCAACAAGGAGAGCAAGAAGCAGAACTTTGTATTGCCTTTGACACCTAAAGCTTTCATACATACATACATATATATATATATATATTCAGCTTCCACACATGCACACACACACACACATATATACATACATAGATGCAGCTTCCATAAATATATATAAAGCTTCCATACGTATTTATAAATACAATTTTCATACATATGTGTATACAGCTTCCATACATATATAAATATATATATATATATATATATATATAAATATTTACAACCTCCATACATATAAATAAATGTAAAAGAGGAGGTGAAGAAGATAATGCAGTAGACTAGACTGCCATGTTTGTGACATCTGTTTGTTGTTAATCACTGGCAGGAAGCTTTGGCTGAAGAGAAGAGACTGCAGGCCCGCTACCTCAACGATATTGAGATTGCCAAGTCACAGAGAGACTTTGAGCTCAAGAAGGCAGCCTATGACATGGAGGTTCAGACTACAAAAGCTCAGGCCGATTTAGCCTACCAGCTCCAGGTAAGCATGGACAGATCAACCATACAACTACGGGTTTATTTGTGATTTTATTATTCATTATAGAGTGACTCTAGTTTGAATCCTTGGTAAGTCTAAGTAATCTTTCTATCAGGGACAAACATAAACATAACAGCATGCACAGTTTGTGGCGTTTGCACCAGCTATGTGGCCACTCTATCCTAACCCACCTTAAACAAGGGGAAAAAAACTAAATACATGCATTAAAGACAGTTTGAAAAAACAACACATCAGGAGACCAGGTTTCTACCATTAAAAAAAAATAGATTGTAAAGGACCAGTTACAACTGCATGGAGCATTCTGGCAGTGTTATTCTTGCTGCCTTTACTTCCCCACCACACATTGCTGGTACCCATTTGTAGGCTAAGTTAAACAGTGAATCATTGTCGGTTATACAAATCTACCTTGATAGGGTTTCTCAAATGCCTGGTGCTTGCACTTCAGGTAAGTTCCTAACCATCAGGGGCCTTATTATAACTTTATGGTTAAAGGGGCCTGTAGGGATTTGTGTGTGTAGGATTCTCATTTTTGGGTGTTGTTAATACTGCGGACTGCAGTCCTAGAGGGGACGAAACTGCACAGGGTTCAGACCTTTGATCGTCATATGTGACTGTGTTATGGGCTCCTTTGTGACTGTTGTGTGCCCCTATGTGACTGTGTTATGGGCTCCTTTGTGACTGTTGTGTGCTCCTTTGTGGCTGTTGTGTGCCCCTTTGTGACTGTGTTGTGGGCTCCTTTGTGACTGTTGTGTGCTCCTTTGTCACTGTGTTATGTGCTTGGGTTGAATATTGAATTTAGAATCAACCTTGCAGCACTAGGAACATTTCCATAAGCACTCCATTCCCATTTTCAGCAGCAGGCACAGATTTCCGGTTCTGATTGTACCAGTAACAGTGATTGTATAATCCATCTTACCTTTCCTCTGAGTGTTGGTGTCGGCCAGATCCCCTGGAACTCCCCGCAGCACATGTGTGCTTAGATATGACTATGCTTCCGCACCTGATACCATAAAAACCGTATGTGGTTACTGGCAACAAACCAGATAAACAAAAATTAGGCATGGATATTAGATGGAGGAAGGCTTTAGGAGTGAGCAGAAGAGATCAAATCAGGAAGGAAGTCATAAGAGAAAAAATGGGCGGAGAGCCAGTACTGTATTTCATACAAAGACAGCAAGTCAAATGGTTTGCTCACTTAGATTATGTCAAACCATAAGTAAGTTAAAGTAAAGGACCCTTCTCCGTGCCTTTAGGCATATAGGGCTAGACCTATATGTTAATGTCATACCATACAAGGATTATTTACCACAAGACAAGATAGACGTAGATCACGAAGTAGACAGATAACATCAGGGAAACTACAACAGCACAATGTGTCGATGGCTAGAAGAACAAGAAGCAAACCTTTTCCTCGACACCCTACATGGTAAAAGTGGAAGATTAGAAGAAGTTAAGACCATATGTTGTACTCTTATGTGACAAACCTTTGTTCTCGGATGAGACTGTGCTGTGTGCTTAGATATGACTTATTATGTTTACACTGAAACATATCTTGCTTATCCTCTGTCTATATACAGGCTGCCAAAACCAAGCAGCGGATCCGTGAGGAAAACATGCAGGTGACTGTCATTGAGAGGGCACAACAAATCATGGTTCAGGAGCAGGAGATTATCAGGAAGGAAAGAGAACTGGACGCTCAGGTCAAGAAGCCAGCTGAGGCTGAGAAATATCGACTGGAGAAGATGGCTGAGGCTCAGAGGTAGGAGTTGGCGTCTGGAGGGGTGTGATTCCAAGGCTCTGTTAGATGGTGCCCATCGTCATTGAGAGCTTTGTCAGATTGCATGCATTTTCCATGTGGATTCCGGGGATACATTTGAGGGTTTGGGGGGGGGGGGGGGGGGGGGGGGGTGAATAGACCCACTGCCCCAACAAACATGTAAGAGGCTACTAATTATGAGTGTTTTCTTTAGAGTGGAAGTGCACCTACTGCCTATAGGTGTAGAACCAACAGTCTGCATCCTGATAAGCCAGATCTGTGAAACAAATGTGCATGCAAAACTGAAGTTCCAACCATCAGAAGTGTCAAGACAAACAGTCCAACCCAGAATTGCTCTTCTTCACCATGGAAGCAGTAGTTACAATAAATTGGCTGTTGCACATGCAATATTGCATAAGACACCAAAAGTTCTGTGACAACAGGCCACTTGCCTTTCCTGAATCTGCAGCCACACAACACAAACCACACTAAGCACAGCTGAAAAGCTTTCCCAAAAGACATCGTTAGCTTACAGTGTCATGCCATGCACTCAGCTCAGTAGCTGGGCAACAGAACTATGAATAAGTTATTGTTGTCTTTTTTGTGTGTTTTTCTATCAACTTTCCTGTTGTTACATTTTGAACTCTTCTTTGATCATAGTGTGGCCAACAAATGTATATTGTCTATTTCTGATGCCTGTAATAGTTATCTGTGTTTGTCCTTGCCTTTTATTTAAAACATAGATTATTTAGTTTTTGTGTAATGTCTGTGTAGTGGGAAGTTGGCCGTTGTAAAATCTGTCTTGTCTTGTCTTATCCACAATTGCCTCACAGCATAGTGGGGAGTCACAGTTTTCTATCCTGGGCCAGGTGTGTTGCACGTGTTGTTAGTCCGTGTTGCCTCAGGATCTCTGATATATTGTCTATCCATCGTACTCTCGGTCTGCCTCTTGCTCTAGGGCAGTAGTGCTGTTCATTGTATGCTCGTAGAGGCAGTTGGTCAGTTTGCATTCGCATCAAGTGGCCAAATCTGTGTAGTGGGAAAATGGTAGTTGTAGAATCTGTGTAATGGGAACATGGTAGTTGTAGAAAGTGTGTGTGGGAACATTGTATAAATGTATATAGTGATTTATTTACAGATAAGTTAAAATAGACGCAGGGGAACATAGTTTATTTTAAAGTTGTGAAGTCTAAGTGCCTTGGCATCTGAAACGGTACAAGAGGAAGTGAAGAAAGAAGAAGAAGTCTGGGTTGACAGTAGTTGTTTGTACAGTCGTATTGACCTGTTGTTGTTCTTGTTGTCTTTCCCAGAACCCGGACCATCATGGAGGCTGAAGCCGAAGCAGAAGCTATCAGGGTTGGTTGTTATTTATCATATCAGTAGTTGTCCAGGCATTGGATATATGTTTATTCAGAACTTGTCAAATGGGTTCTAAGAATATCATGGGTTAAGAAAAGAACAAATGCATCCACACTTCAAAAACTGAATTTTAAAGAAGGTTGGCTATTAAAGATGATAAAACACAGAAAATTGAAATATTTCGGTCACTTGAAATGTCAAGAAGGTTTAGAGAACAGTAATGGAGGGGTATACGCCTGGGAAGAGAAAGGCCAAAGATAAGATGGGTGCAGGGTGTAGCAGATGATCTTCAGATGGGTATATTGGACGTTGGACACCTTGCTTGTGGTTGAGAAGTTTTTCGGAGGGTTGTTATGGGAGCAGGGTTCCCAAAAGGACAGGCTACTGACTGAAATGCTAAAGTTCGTTGTGTTTGTGGAAGTCGCTGTGGTGTATGGGTTAGATGCTCACCCGCAGATCTCAAAGTTGTGGCTTCAAATCCGCACAATCCACATTTGTTCAAGTATGACTTTTGCTCCCTAGGTAGGCCCAGCCTTAAAAAGGTACCAGGTAAAGTTCTGGGAAATAGATGGCTGGCAGAATGCTGATCACATCACCCATCGATTATTCTGTAAGGTGCGGACTGAAAAAAGTTTGGAAGCCACTGATCTAGCCTCATATGTCGAATGCGTCACTGGTGTGGAAAGGCACCTGGACTTACTTTTACAGTTGTGTGAATTAGTCTTGATCATCATCATCATGTATCAGATAGCTTAGATGTGAAGTCTCTCCACAGATCGGGATCCATATTGTTATGAATCAGTTCTGTTGATGATATGAGTTGATGCCATTCGACTAAGTTTGCTCTCAATGAGTCCATGCCATTCGACTAAGTTTGCTCTGAATGAGTCCATGCCATTCGACTAAGTTTGCTGTGAATGAGTCCATGCCATTCGACTGTTTGCTCTCAATGAGTCCATGCCTTTCGACTGTTTGCTCTGAATGAGTCCATGCCATTCGACTAAGTTTGCTGTGAATGAGTCCATGCCATTCGACTAAGTTTGCTGTGAATGAGTCCATGCCATTCGACTGTTTGCTGTGAATGAGTCCATGCCATTCGACTAAGTTTGCTGTGAGAGAGTCCATGCAATTCGACTGTTTGCTGTGAATGAGTCCATGCCATTTGACTGTTTGCTGTGAATGAGTCCATGCCATTCGACTGTTAGCTGTGAATGAGTCCATGCCATTCAACTAAGTTTGCTGTGAATGAGTCCATGCCATTCGACTGTTTGCTGTGAATGAGTCCATGCCATTCGACTGTTTGCTCTGAATGAGTCCATGCCATTCGACTGTTTGCTGTGAATGAGTCCATGCCATTCGACTGTTTGCTCTGAATGAGTCCATGCCATTCGACTGTTTGCTGTGAATGAGTCCATGCCATTCGACTAAGTTTGCTCTGAGGCCAAAATGGTGGGAAATGAGGATCATCTTGAGTCCAGAGGGCAGTGCCCCGGCATAGAAAGATCATTAATACACATAAATTGCAGGTGATCTGCGGGCCACTTACTAGGCCTCTGCTGGCCATATTTAGCTTGGGAGCAGCGTGGTATATAGCCCTGTCTTAGACCATCTTGTCATATCGGTGTGAATATTTTCTTTGTTTTGGCATTCTTGTCTGTGTGCAGATCAAAGGAGAAGCGGAGGCCTATGCTATTGAGGCTCGTGCCAAAGCTGAGGCTGAACAGATGGCCAAGAAGGCGGACGCCTGGAAGGACTACCAGGATGCTGCTATGATTGACATGGTGTTGGAGACCCTACCTAAGGTAAACTACAGCTATGGGTTCTGAATTTTTGTTGGTTTTATATTTTGTTTGTTTGGTGGTTAGAAAAAACATTTGCCCAACAGGACTGCATTCTGAAAGATTATTACCCCTGACTCAAAGAGGCACTGTTTTGTTGAGAATAAAACAAGAGCATATCCCAGAAACCCTGATCAACATTAGAGCACAGTTATATTAGGGTACCAGCCAGCTGCTAAATAACAGGCAGTCTGTAAGGATGGGTTATTAGATCTTTATTGATATTTATTACCCCTTAGCTTCTTCTTCTTCTAAGTTTTCGCCGACTATAAAATTCCAGTGGAAAGTTCTGGTTGTTTGTCGGCTCTTGGACTACACTTGATCCAGAACTTTAGTTTTGCATGCACATCTGTTTTGCAGATCTGACTATTTTGTATGCAGACACTGGTTCTTTGCCTGTCATGCTTCTCACTTTGAAAGAAATGCACCTAATTAATGCTTCCTTAGTTGTGCTTTTTTAGGAGGGGTTGGGGGGAGGAGGAGTGTGTCTGTTCTTTGTTCTCCAAAATGGAACCCCGAAACTCACACGCGGGTATGACATAATGATATGTATTATGTGCAGTATTGTATTCCATCTATTTTCTGTGTGCCTCACACGTTTGTTTCTGGCTTAGGCATTGTAATGCACTTCTAAATTCTAAAGTCCCCAGTTTGATTCCAGCTGTGACAGCAGACTGCATCAGGTTGTTTCTCTACAACGGTATTGAGAGCCAGCCATTGAGAAAGCAACAAAATGCTTAGTTTGGTTCTGTAGTCTCCTGTAAAAGATACTGAACTAACTTTATCATACAAATGTACTTCAGTAGTATATCACACAAATGTACTTCAGTAGTATATCACACAAATGTACTTCAGTAGTATATCACACAAATGTACTTCAGTAGTAAATCACACAGTTATACTTCAGTAGTATATCACACCTAGTAATACTTCAGTAGTAGATCACACCTAGTTATATATCAGTAGTATATCACACCTAGTTATATATCAGTAGTATATCACACCTAGTTATATATCAGTAGTATATCACACCTAGTTATATATCAGTAGTATATCACACCTAGTTATATATCAGTAGTATATCACACCTAGTTATATATCAGTAGTATATCACACCTAGTTATATATCAGTAGTATATCACACCTAGTTATATATCAGTAGTATATCACACCTAGTTATATATCAGTAGTATATCACACCTAGTTATATATATCAGTAGTATATCACACCTAGTTATATATATCAGTAGTATATCACACCTAGTTATATATCAGTAGTATATCACACCTAGTTATATATCAGTAGTATATCACACCTAGTTATATATCAGTAGTATATCACACCTAGTTATATATCAGTAGTATATCACACCTAGTTATATATCAGTAGTATATCACACCTAGTTATATATCAGTAGTATATCACACCTAGTTATATATCAGTAGTATATCACACCTAGTTATACTTCAGTAGTATATCACACCTAGTTATATATCAGTAGTATATCACACCTAGTTATATACTATCACCCCTAGTTATATATATATCACCCCTAGTTATACTTCAGTAGTATATCACCCCTAGTTATACTTCAGTAGTATATCACCCCTAGTTATACTTCAGTAGTATATCACACCTAGTTATACTTCAGTAGTATATCACACCTAGTTATACTTCAGTAGTATATCACACCTAGTTATACTTCAGTAGTATATCACACCTAGTTATACTTCAGTAGTATATCACACCTAGTTATACTTCAGTAGTATATCACACCTAGTTATACTTCAGTAGTATATCACACCTAGTTATACTTCAGTGGTATATCACACCTAGTTATACTTCAGTAGTATATCACACCTAGTTATACTTCAGTAGTATATCACACCTATTTATATATCAGTAGTATATCACACCTAGTTATACTTCAGTAGTATATCACACCTAGTTATACTTCAGTAGTAGATCACACCTAGTTATACTTCAGTAGTATATCACACCTAGTTATACTTCAGTAGTATATCACACCTAGTTATACTTCAGTAGTATATCACACCTAGTTATACTTCAGTAGTATATCACACCTAGTTATACTTCAGTTGTATATCACACCTAGTTATACTTCAGTTGTATATCACACCTAGTTATACTTCAGTTGTATATCACACCTAGTTATACTTCAGTAGTATATCACACCTAGTTATACTTCAGTAGTATATCACACCTAGTTATACTTCAGTAGTATATCACACCTATTTATACTTCAGTAGTATATCACACCTATTTATACTTCAGTAGTATATCACACCTAGTTATACTTCAGTAGTATATCACACCTAGTTATACTTCAGTAGTATATCACACCTAGTTATACTTCAGTAGTATATCACACCTAGTTATACTTCAGTAGTATATCACACCTAGTTATACTTCAGTAGTATATCACACCTAGATATACTTCAGTAGTATATCACACCTAGTTATACTTCAGTAGTATATCACACCTAGTTATACTTCAGTAGTATATCACACCTAGTTATACTTCAGTAGTATATCACACCTAGTTATACTTCAGTAGTATATCACACCTAGTTATACTTCAGTAGTATATCACACCTAGTTATACTTCAGTAGTATATCACACCTAGTTATACTTCAGTAGTATATCACACCTAGTTATACTTCAGTAGTATATCACACCTAGTTATACTTCAGTAGTATATCACACCTAGTTATACTTCAGTAGTATATCACACCTAGTTATACTTCAGTAGTATATCACACCTAGTTATACTTCAGTAGTATATCACACCTAGTTATACTTCAGTAGTATATCACACCTAGTTATACTTCAGTAGTATATCACACCTAGTTATACTTCAGTAGTATATCACACCTATTTATACTTCAGTAGTATATCACACCTAGTTATATATCAGTAGTATATCACACCTAGTTATACTTCAGTAGTATATCACACCTAGTTATACTTCAGTAGTATATCACACCTAGTTATACTTCAGTAGTATATCACACCTAGTTATACTTCAGTAGTATATCACACCTAGTTATATATCAGTAGTATATCACACCTAGTTATACTTCAGTAGTATATCACACCTAGTTATACTTCAGTAGTATATCACACCTAGTTATACTTCAGTAGTATATCACACCTAGTTATACTTCAGTAGTAGATCACACCTAGTTATACTTCAGTAGTAGATCACACCTAGTTATACTTCAGTAGTATATCACACCTAGTTATACTTCAGTAGAATATCACACCTAGTTATACTTCAGTAGTATATTACCCCTAGTTATACTTCAGTAGTAGATCACCCCTAGTTATACTTCAGTAGTATATCACCCCTAGTTATACTTCAGTAGTAGATCACACCTAGTTATACTTCAGTAGTATATCACCCCTAGTTATACTTCAGTAGTAGATCACACCTAGTTATACTTCAGTAGTATATCACCCCTAGTTATACTTCAGTAGTAGATCACACCTAGTTATACTTCAGTAGTATATCACCCCTAGTTATACTTCAGTAGTAGATCACACCTAGTTATACTTCAGTAGTAGATCACACCTAGTTATACTTTAGTAGTATATCACACCTAGTTATACTTCAGTAGTAGATCACACCTAGTTATACTTCAGTAGTAGATCACACCTAGTTATACTTCAGTAGTATATCACCCCTAGTTATACTTCAGTAGTATATCACACCTAGTTATACTTCAGTAGTATATCACACCTAGTTATACTTCAGTAGTATATCACACCTAGTTATACTTCAGTAGTATATCACACCTAGTTATACTTCAGTAGTATATCACACCTAGTTATACTTCAGTAGTATATCACACCTAGTTATACTTCAGTAGTATATCACACCTAGTTATACTTCAGTAGTATATCACACCTAGTTATACTTCAGTAGTATATCACACCAAGTTATACTTCAGTAGTATATCACACCTAGTTATACTTCAGTAGTATATCACACCTAGTTATACTTCAGTAGTATATCACACCTAGTTATACTTCAGTAGTATATCACACCTAGTTATACTTCAGTAGTATATCACACCTAGTTATACTTCAGTAGTATATCACACCTAGTTATACTTCAGTAGTATATCACACAGTTATACTTCAGTAGTATATCACACCTAGTTATACTTCAGTTGTATATCACACCTAGTTATACTTCAGTAGTATATCACACCTAGTTATACTTCAGTTGTATATCACACCTAGTTATACTTCAGTAGTATATCACACCTAGTTATACTTCAGTAGTATATCACACCTAGTTATACTTCAGTAGTATATCACACCTAGTTATACTTCAGTAGTATATCACACCTAGTTATACTTCAGTAGTATATCACACCTAGTTATACTTCAGTAGTATATCACACCTAGTTATACTTCAGTAGTATATCACACATTTATACTTCAGTAGTATATCACACCTAGTTATACTTCAGTAGTATATCACACCTAGTTATACTTAAGTAGTATATCACACAGTTATACTTCAGTAGTATATCACACCTAGTTATACTTCAGTAGTATATCACACCTAGTTATACTTCAGTAGTATATCACACCTAGTTATACTTCAGTAGTATATCACACCTAGTTATACTTCAGTAGTATATCACACCTAGTTATACTTCAGTAGTATATCACACCTAGTTATACTTCAGTAGTATATCACACCTAGTTATACTTCAGTAGTATATCACACCTAGTTATATATCAGTAGTATATCACACCTAGTTATATATCAGTAGTATATCACACCTAGTTATATATCAGTAGTATATCACACCTAGTTATATATATCAGTAGTATATCACACCTAGTTATATATCAGTAGTATATCACACCTAGTTATATATCAGTAGTATATCACACCTAGTTATATATCAGTAGTATATCACACCTAGTTATATATCAGTAGTATATCACACCTAGTTATATATCAGTAGTATATCACACCTAGTTATATATCAGTAGTATATCACACCTAGTTATACTTCAGTAGTATATCACACCTAGTTATACTTCAGTAGTATATCACACCTAGTTATACTTCAGTAGTATATCACACCTAGTTATACTTCAGTAGTATATCACACCTAGTTATACTTCAGTTGTATATCACACCTAGTTATACTTCAGTAGTATATCAGACCTAGTTATACTTCAGTAGTATATCACACAGTTATACTTCAGTAGTATATCACCCCTAGTTATACTTCAGTAGTATATCACACCTAGTTATACTTCAGTAGTATATCACACCTAGTTTAACTTCAGTTGTATATCACACAGTTATACTTCAGTAGTATATCACACCTAGTTATACTTCAGTAGTATATCACACCTAGTTATACTTCAGTAGTATATCACACCTAGTTATACTTCAGTAGTATATCACACCTAGTTATACTTCAGTAGTATATCACACAGTTATACTTCAGTAGTATATCACACCTAGTTATACTTCAGTAGTATATCACACAGTTATACTTCAGTAGTATATCACACCTAGTTATACTTCAGTAGTATATCACACCTAGTTATACTTCAGTAGTATATCACACAGTTATACTTCAGTAGTATATCACCCCTAGTTATACTTCGGTAGTATATCACCCCTAGTTATACTTCGGTAGTATATCACACCTAGTTATACTTCAGTAGTATATCACACCTAGATATACTTCAGTAGTATATCACACCTAGTTATACTTCAGTAGTATATCACACAGTTATACTTCAGTAGTATATCACACCTAGTTATACTTCAGTAGTATATCACACCTAGTTATACTTCAGTAGTATATCACCCCTAGTTATACTTCAGTAGTAGATCACACCTAGTTATACTTCAGTAGTATATTACCCCTAGTTATACTTCAGTAGTATATTACATAGTTACCTATAATCTGTTTTCCGTGTCACAGATTGCCGCAGAAATCTCAGCTCCCCTGACCAATGCCAGGAAGGTGACCATGGTGTCCAGCGGCAAAGGGGAAGTGGGTGCCCTGAAACTGACCAATGAGGTCATGAGCATTATGGAGAAGCTGCCCTCTGTGGTCGAGAACTTGACTGGAATCAACATTGCAAAAGTGAGTTTGTTTGCGTCAAAATGTGGTCCGATGGTTGTTGTTACAAACTGATAGTAATGTAGTGGTTGATATCATCATCATGCCGTAGTGATGTCAGCCACACAGAATATTGACTGCAGAAGTATCAGAGGCACTGAAAAGTACTATATATGAAGCAACAGAAGGGCTCTTTCCAAAGATCTCTTCCTTCCCTGATGCTACAAGGCATTATAGAAGTAGTGAACATAAGAAGAAGAAGACAAAGAAGAAAAAGATGATTAGAGACATTAACTTGGATGTTTTTTTTTGTTTTTGTTTTTGGTTTTTGTTAATCATTCACCAACTTCAAACTGGGGTAAAGTTCTGGTTGTTCATCCACATCCCAACTTTAGCCTATTTAAAATTTGAATTTTGTGTCTACATTTACAAGCAGACTGTTGTTTCCTCACCTCTAAGGCAGATGACCTCCGACCCTGGAGGACAAATTCCTAATTAGTTGTCTTAAACAACATTGTCTGATCGGAAGGCAGTGGGTCAGTTCTTTTTCCCCACAAAATGGCACCCTGGGACCTAGACTAAAGCAAGCGATGAAGATTGCAAAGAATATTATTCTTAGATTTAAAGCAGGATTCACGTTTTTACTTAGGAAACCAATATTCTCAATCTATTTCAGTCCTTGAAGTTGACCTCGCGGAAGTAAACAGCATGTGCAGAGAATGGCTGCAGGAAGAATCAGACACAATTGCTGATCAGAGTCACCTGTCCCTGACCGGAAACTGGGGCAACAACAGAACAAGTACCGATCACTGAATAGATTTGACAGCCCCAGTTTAAAACTATTCTTTCCAGTTCTTGAAAATGATTGTCCCATACTTTTGATGTTTGATGTATCTGCTGCCTGCAAGCAAACATTCTTTCCAGTTCTTGAAAATGATTGTCCCATACTTTTGATGTTTGATGTATCTGCTGCCTGCAAGCAAACATTTCTCTTTTTCATCAGCTTTCAAAATTGATGTTTAATATTTCATGATGTTGCATGTGTCTGTTCCATTATATTTGTAGTATCAAATTGTTATACGTTCTCTGATATTTCACAATTTTATAGTTGTTATCTTTCTGTCCTTTGCAAATTTTACATTAATAAATTCTCTTATTTAAACAGATTAAATTTGTCTGCCCTATTAAAAACTTGTGAAGTAAATTTGAAACTTTCTAGCCATTGTTAGTGTTTGCATTGTAAAGTTTTGTATTGATGCATGTGGTTACTTTTGCTACCCTGAGTTTTCATCTGAATAATATCCTTGAAGATCATTTTTAAAAATCATCTTGCCCTCGGGATTAACCCATAGGTGTTCATTCTTCCTCTAATTTCTTTGTTTATTCAACGGATCAACATCTTGGCACACAGGAAAACCCATAACTAACACAAGGCTGAGTCTGAAGAATCTCAGTGCACGTGCACAACTTCCATTGCACCGGCGAGGATCCTGTATTACTCTTGGTAGGTTTTTAAACTCCAAATTCGCCCGGGCAGCGCCGTTAGGCTACTCTTTTTTTATTTTTTTTTTTATTTCAATGGCTAACGGATTTTTTACATCTGTCCTTTAAGGATAATGTTTCCTAATGTATTGGAGACAGTTTGTAGGACAAGTTATTTAGTCTGTACATGAAGACATGACCAGATGTGTGACCTGCTCATAAGGTTGTTTTTGCAAAGATCAGTGTGATAGTTTCTCCTGCACTTTACATTAAAGAATATCAGTAAAATAACTTTTCTGGAAAACATGAACCAATTTTGGAGCAATGAATATTTTTTTCAAACAAGTGTGTGGAAATCAAGGGGAGACTATCACATTATATGTCTCTAGAAAGTATCCCAAAGATCTGCTAGAGAGACCCCCAGGGCAGGCAGGTCATCTACATGAAGAGGGGAAGAGAATAACGGCAGAAAGATTGGAGCTAAAAATGTTACAGACAAATTCTAAGAATACCATGGATCAAGAAGAGGAAAAACATCGACATTCAACACGAGTTGAACATCCAGGAGAACTGGCTCATAAACAGCATCCTGTCCTGAAAGTTGAAGTATTTTGGCCACATCAAACGTCATGGTGGCTTGGAAAAGACGGTGATGAAGGGTGCAGTCTGTGGAAAGCGAGGCAGAGGTGGACCTCCGCGGACGTGGATAAAGGACATTGAAGATGCATTGGCATTGAAAGCACATGGGGCTGGAGAGCTGGCCAGTGAAATGGGATGCTTTCAGGCGTGCTGTGAAGAGAGTAATGTTCTGTAAAGGACTTGCTGATTGATAATGAGAAAACCTTATGTAGACCTTTTTAAAGTTAATTAGTAGGGCAAAGGTATAGAATGTTTAAAACAATTTGTAGAATCTAAGCCAGTTAGAACATTAAAAACTGTTTAGTTGTTTTGTTTAACAAAATGATTCTGCACACATGTTTAATACTAAACAGCTGTTTCTTAAACTAGAAAATATCTTATGGAGTTAAAAAACAGAAAAAACATTCTTGTTTCTATGGGGGATAGAAATAATTTAAAAATAGAGAAGGAGTCAGAAGAGATAACCAAGTTTAAGAAAATACATTTTGTTCATGCTATTTATAAATGGCTGGAACCGTTGAAGAAACTGCAGCAGTGTAAGGTGTTATCCACAGTTGAAAGGAAATCCAGCCAGTCTTGCACACACACTGTCGGCTGTCTACAGACTTTTCTACTTATCCTCCGCTTCAGAACAGGGCACAACCGATTACGTAACCACATGTACACAACATTCAAGATAGGTGTATCAGCCATGTGCACCTGTGGAAAGGTGCCCCAAACAGCAGAGCATATACTCCAGGACTGCACCGAATTTGACACATTAAGGCAAACCTTTTGGCCAGAAAGAACAACAGTGGAAAGTAAACTCTATGGACCACTGAATGAACAGACAACGACACTGAAATTTATACAAGAGACAAAATTGCTGATATAGACATCTTATTTCAGGCGAACGAAAGAAAAAGAAGAAGTCTTTTCTGCCATAATAAAACCATGATGCTGATTTTGTATTTATCTTTAGCCTTTTTATTGTTCTTTATTTTTGCTTGTCTTTTGAATCTTTGTGCTGCTTCATTGTTTTTAGTCACTGCTTTAATGAAACAACTTATGTCAAACATTGATTTTATAAGGCAGCTGTATTTGTTTGTTGTCAATGTTTGTATTGTTCTCACTGAAACCCAGCACATATGTTACAAAATAATTTCAAGTTTGTAGATTTGAAGTCGGTACGAACAATCGCATTTCAATATTGCCCTAGTTTGTTTCATTTATGCTTTTCATATGTTATTGAATATTAATGTTTTTCACGCTAAGTCATGTTTTGTTCTCATTATTTTTGGTAAGCGGATAGACCAGTCTGTGACCTCATTAATGATACTACTGTTACATCTTGTACTTTTCTGCATTACAAAACACTCCATAGTTTTCTACTTGTTACAATTCATCATCATACAAATTGAGTCACAATAGTAACGTTATCGCTATCATGAGTGTGGCCTCTCTGTGTTTATGTGCGTGCATGTGCTTAGTTCATGAAGTTTGTCTTCTTCATCTTCTGCCTTCACCTTTAAAAGGGCATTTGGCACACTGTGGTTGACAGCTAGGCTGCGACATTCTTGCCTTATGCCACGTTACATCCAGTTTCAGCAAATTTCTAGTTAGTTCCCTTTTTAGGACATGTTAGTAGTGTCAGTGGGTCTCCCCCCCCCCCCCCCCCCCCCCCCCCCACCCCCCCCCCCCCCCCCCCTCCATCAAATTGAGGCCCTGGAACCCACACGGGGAGTGAGGCTTTCAGTACCCCTCGTGCAGCATCACTCAACACCACTACAACCCTGTACACATCCATGCAGGTTGGGTTTCCCTTGTGATAGGTTGGGTTTCCCTTGTGACAGGTTGGAAGTTCTTAGAGAAACTTGTATAACCACGCATGGTCTTGCGTATTGTCTTCATCACTGCAGATGGTAATTGTAAAAAAAAAAATAGGTCAGAATCTCCAGGAATCACTGTGAAACCTCCAGCAACTGATAGTGTGGATCATATGACCCCAATCATTGGCTACCAAATTAAATATTTACAATTCTTCATCAGTATCATAGCTTGTAGTGCTGTTATTGTGGGTACCAGGTCACTAAGGGTTGCTAGACTGTGTTACAAGTTATACCACATTTCCACTACATATCCACCACATATCCACCACACATCTACCACATATCCACCACATATCCACCACATATCCACCACACATCTACCACATATCCAGCTCTGGACATATCCACCACATATGCCCACCACACATCTACCATCACTATCCAGTTTGAGATGCCAGATCTGTCCACCAAATCCACTCCATCACTAACAGTTGAGATTCCTGATTTCCACCAACCACTCATCACTTCACAGTTTGAGATTCCCCTGATTGTCCACCAACCACTCATCACTATCACAGTTGAGATTCCCCTGATTGTCCACCAACCACTCATCACTATCACAGTTGAGATTCCCCTGATTGTCCACCAACCACTCATCACTATCACAGTTGAGATTCCCCTGATTGTCCACCAACCACTCATCACTATCACAGTTGAGATTCCCCTGATTATCCACCAACCACTCATCACTATCACAGTTCAGATTCCCCTGATTATCCACCAATCACTCATCACTATCACAGTTCAGATTCCCCTGATTTTCCACCAATCACTCATCACTATCACAGTTCAGATTCCCCTGATTGTCCACCAATCACTCATCACTATCACAGATCAGATTCCCCTGATTGTCCACCAATCACTCATCACTATCACAGATCAGATTCCCCTGATTGTCCACCAATCACTCATCACTATCACAGTTCAGATTCCCCTGATTGTCCACCAATCACTCATCACTATCACAGTTGAGATTCCCCTGATTGTCCACCAATCACTCATCACTATCACAGATCAGATTCCCCTGATTGTCCACCAATCACTCATCACTATCACAGATCAGATTCCCCTGATTGTCCACCAATCACTCATCACTATCACAGTTCAGATTCCCCTGATTGTCCACCATTCACTCATCACTATCACAGATCAGATTCCCCTGATTGTCCACCAACCACTCATCACTATCACAGTTGAGATTCCCCTGATTATCCACCAACCACTCATCACTATCACAGTTGAGATTCCCCTGATTATCCACCAACCACTCATCACTATCACAGTTGAGATTCCCCTGATTGTCCACCAACCACTCATCACTATCACAGTTCAGATTTCCCTTATGATTCACAGTTGAGATTCCCCTGATTATCCACCAACCACTCATCACTATCACAGTTCAGATTCCCCTGATTGTCCACCAATCACTCATCACTATCACAGTTCAGATTTCCCTTATTGTCCACCAATCACTCATCACTATCACAGTTGAGATTCCCCTGATTGTCCACCAACCACTCATCACTATCACAGTTCAGACATGACCAAGTGTTTTGGTCGTCATATAATATTTACCCTGCCTAAATGCCACACACCCGTCATTAATGTTTCCATGTTTCTCAATTTACAGATCAACTGTTCATACAGGTGAGACGTTATGTTGCCATGTTCCAGAATTGTCTAGTCTGACTATCAAATAATTGAGTTGTCCAGTAATGCTTACCTACATTATTCACCACATGTCCAGTTCATTTGTGTGTGTGTGTGTTTTCAGTTTTTCTTAAATTATTTTTCTAGCAATAAACTCTGTTATAATTGTTCTGATTTTCTCAAACCATTAAATTTCATATACTCATATACCACTCATTGTGTTTTCTGATTGTATTGCAAGTACTGCTGCCTTCCTATGTTGTTTGCAACTATTTATGTATCTAATATACGTTATTACCTCTCCTAGTCCCTGGTAGTGTGATAAGTGTTGGCGGCCTACTCCTGATAATTTTTGGGGGCTGCGTTAGCACAGTCAAAAGGAGACTCGCTTTTAAATCCAGCTGCGACTCGCTGCAGCTCACAGCTGGTGTTTGAAACCGGGCAGTGCCCAGGGTTCACCCAGCCTCTAGGAAATTGGTACCAGAGTTAACACCCTGGGGTAAATGGAGGAACGTCGCTGTAGCTACGGAGTTATGCGCAAATGGCGACACAGGCGGACAATTTCTTATCAGCTGTTTGCACTGGTGGCAGAACACTTATGGTTTATAACCATGTGCAGTGACGCTGGTTCACATCTCCCAACTTTACCTTTTTTTTTTTTTTTATATCCTAGCCAACACATACTGTGGTCTCTCACATTTTACATATGGTCACAGCACACTAAGAAATCTGGCTTTCCTGGTGGTCCCTGTCAAAGTATTATGTGTGCGATTTTTCATAATGATTATTTCTGGCCTTGTTATAAAATGGAATCCACTTGAGAACTTTGTGATTACTGCTGTGACTGCCTTCACCTCCATTCTCAGTTGAAGTTTGTGGCTAAGGCGTTGTGACACACTTCATAATTACAAAGTAGGTTTTATTCCAGCTGCGTGCAATTAGGCAGCAGACCACATTGTGTTGATTTTGACAATTGTGTGCAGAGCTGACCGCTCAATAAGCAGTGGCAAACAGCTGAATGTAAAATTGCCCGGTAAAATCAAAAACAAACCATATACAAAAAGGTAGGATTGATTCTTCAGCATCCACTAAAGGATACACAATAAATTTTGTTATTAACACAACTTTTGAGACGTACTGTTTTGTTGTTGTTGCTGTTGTTTTTATTGGACTTAATGCAGTTCTTTCTGTAACTCTTTCTACCACACCCAGTTGCTGCTTTAAGTATCAAGGAATTTATGCCAGGTGGGGCATCGGCTCATACAATGCTAGTTGGGTTGCTAGATTTTGTGAAATAAAAAGCAGAATGAAGACTCGTTTGTTTATAACGGCTGTAATGTTGCTCTGTCTAGGTTCTCTTTGGGTGCAATGGAACTATGTCGGCCACGCCCTTAGAATGGATGTTCTTTCCTTTAACCAAGGGAAACTCTACGTAGAACTATCATGTTCATGTTAGTATGAACACAGCATGGAGAGTATGATATGTGCCGCACTCGACACAAAGAGGAAAGACTAACCACTGGCAGGTATCTCTTTGGGTGCATGGACACTGTTCTTTCCTTTAAGTATCTGTTATGTTAGTATGAACACAGTAGATAAAGACACACGCACTGGCAAGTATTGATCTGTTTATTACCGATCTAACAACTGTACTGTTCAGTGTTTTTATTTATAATACAAGGGGGCCAATCACAAATACTTTTGTAGACACATCGCAGCTCAAATCTAGATGTAAGTACCTTTCGATTCGCTTGCGGTTTCAATCCAGCGCCACAGAATCTCGTATGTCCTGGCCTTGCCCACACTGACGGGACAGGACAAACACACTGACCTTCTGACCTGGGCTCGTTCACACTGACGGGACAGGACGAACACACTCACCTCCTGACCTGGGCTCGTTCACCCTGACGGAACAGGACAAACACACAGACCTCCTGACCTGGCCTTGCCCACACTGACGGGACAGGACAAACACACTGACCTCCTGACCTGGACTTGCCCACACTGACGGGACAGGACGAACGCACTGACCTCCTGACCAGGGCTCGTTCACACTGACAGGGACAGGACAAACACACTGACCTTCTGACCTAGGCTTGCCCACACTCACGGGACAGGACGAACGCACTGACCTCCTGACCTGGGCTTGCCCACACTGACGGGACAGGACAAACACACTGACCTGGGCTTGCCCACACTGACGGGACAGGACGAACGCACTGACCTCCTGGCCTGGGCTTAACCACACTGACAGGACAGGACGAACACACTGACCTGGGTTTTATCTGAGCATGTCTCTGTACGTTTCCTCCATCACTAAGCTTAGAACCATACAAATAAAGCGCAGTACCTTTTTAACGCAACGGCGGATTGGGCATATGATGCTAGGCTCTTATTTCTATAGATCGATCGGCCCTCTTTGGGAATTGTGGTCAACATAACGCCGGCTGACTTTACTTCATAGTACATTCAGTGCTATCAATGTTCAACTCAATCGACCCGAGAATCGGAAACAGTTTTGGAAAAAAAAGGGGGGGGGGGGGGGGAAATCGGGTTTGATGAGTTCCGAACCAAGATGTTCTAACCGTAGTTTAATAACCCACAAGGTTCTTTTCTTTTAATTTAGCCCCTCTCAGGGACCCCGAGGTTTCTTAGGGAGTTCCTGGCACAGTCCAGTAGTATTAGAGATTTTAGGATTTAAAATGAAAACCACGTCTGGCTGTATATACATATAAATCTGGAGCTGGCCGTGATGTAAACTGACTAACAATAACCCTTACCTGTCCGTACTGGTGGCAGATCACTTGTGGTTTATAACCGTGTACAATGACGCTGGTTCACATCTCCCGACTTCATCTTTTTACCTTTACTTACCCTACCCCCCCCCCCCGCCCCTTTTTCCTCCTCCCGATATTGGAACTCCCGACAAAATCTCGGAGTCCCCTAGATAGGGTGAGCTAAAAATAAAATACCAACTCCACTAAGTCTCTCGCTAAGGGTAGACTAGAGTAAGGGTATGCTCTCGATCCTAGGAGCTGCGATTATCACACTGTGTGTTCCTCGCTCTTCACAACACGGAGGTACAGTTTTGTCTATAGTGCATGGCAGTGTTTCTCGAACTTTTCTTAGTAGCGGCGCCTTTTTTCAATTAACATTTTTTCCGACGCTCTTACCTAAGTAAAGGTATGACTATTGGTTATATACTATTTGTTATATATAGGGGAAAGAAGAAAAAAAAAACTCGTGTATCTTCGAATATTCCGCGGTGCCTCTATGAAGAGGTCAGAGCTTTCGGGGCGCCACAGCGCATCGTTTGAGAATCGCTGGTGTATGGTAAAGAGCAGGAAGATTAAAAAAAAAAAAAACACGTTCTCTTTTAAATGGTTTATTTGCAACCGGAGTGAATAATACAAGAATTCCCGCGATTAAACAGAAACAAAATCGGGTTTTGTGACACATCCACGAGTCATCAGTCACCACTATAAATAAACAGAGGGGAAAACCATTTGAGGCCGTTAAATATTATGAATTAACCAAGTAACAGAAAGTATTGCGAACGGCACTCATAGAAAGAAGTAGAAACATAGAAGAACACACTAGACAACATAAAAATCGAAAGCTATAGTTACCGAGCCGGGAATTGAACCTGTCACCTCTAGACGGCGTCTGCGCCTCGCCATGAATACAAGTGCACTAAGATACATGGTCAACTAGGCACCCCCCTCCCCCCAAAAAAGGTGTTTTATTGGCCATGTCTATCGTACAGCTTGAAATCCAC